CAACGTTCTTCCCGCCATCTACGAAGAGGTCGACCGTGAGGAAGGAGAGGGTCGTTGGGAAAGTCCTCCTTTCTTACTTTCAGCAAAGTAAGTGGCACGCCCGCATCAGATTTCACACGTGCGAGGCCACTAGAGGATTTTTGAGGAAACAATCCTATTATTATTTTGTATTATATAATAAAGATAAATTTATCATTTTTAAACTTTTTTTCATTCATTTAATTATTTAAATTTGAAATCTTTAACATAAAAATTTTAATTTTTAAGCATTAATAATATGTTTAAGTTAAGAGGAACGAAAGAAAGTGAAAAAGAAAGAAGGAAAAACTTTTTCGAATTAATTAATTTATAATATTTTTAAAATATTATAACATTATAATTTATTTAATTAATTAAAAAATCTTCTTCTCCCCGAGTTATACATTTAACGGGTACGAAGGCTTATTGTTGTGGGGCTGGACAACAAAATAAAGTTGAATTCTTTGTTGGACTACAAATTCTTCGGATCCAATGGGTTCAAAGTTTCATATCCGTTGGTCAGAAGCCCATCACCTAAAGAAAAGAAAGGAAGAGACCTGAGCCTGATTGTGTGGGCTTTTGGGAAGTATAAGAAATTGCATAACTCGTACAACGGGACAACATGCCAAAGCCGCTGCCACCCTGCCAACCATTTCCCCAACTTCCCTGATTTGGTAATTAGAAGACCAATGAATTCCCTAATTTGGTACTCTCTTGGTTCATTTTTAATAAATTTAATTTAATTTTTTAATTTTTAAAATATAAATTTTAGATAAAATTTTAATAATTTATATGAACAATCATTAAAATCTTTTTTGTCAAATAAAAATACTTAGCAAAAATTATATATAGGAACAATAAAAATTTTAATTGTTGTTCATATAAATCATTAAATTTTTATTTAAAATTTATATCCTAAAAATCAAAAGTTAAATTAGGTTTATTAAAAATGAACGGCGAGAGTTTTTAATAACATAGAAAAAAAGTATAAATAAGGATACCAACTTTATAATTTTTTATTCAAAGATGTAAATTTTGCTAGTTTTTAATTAAGGCAACAAATTTTTAATCTTTTCTATTTAAATACGCAAATTTTGTATTTTTATGTTAATTTTACGTTGTTATGTTAGTATCACTATCCAAATAATCTTTATATAGAAAAAACGCAAAGTTGGCATTCTTAAATAAAAAAAAATTGAAAGTTTATTATTTTAATTAGAAATTAACAAAGTTTGAATTTTTAAATAGAAAAAATTATAAAACTAACATCTTTATCTACACATTTTCTCTTTTCTTCATTATTGTAATTTTACAATTATACAATTTTACATGTCATTATAATTATAACATTGTCGAAATTCTATCTTTGTTTCTTAACCTATTTTTTCCTCATTTTCATTTCCCTAGTTTGGTGGTTAGAAGATCAATGACGCAAAACTAAAATGTCTATCTCTTAACCTATTTTTTCCTCATCTTTATTTCTCTTTTAAGGAGAATAATGTTGTTCTATTGTGGACATAACTTGTGTGTTGCGTGATTAATTTCTGAGCACTAAACCACAACCGCAAGCTACCATCAAAGGAGAACTGTTTTTATTGTAGTAACTATTAACCAAAAGCCTTTAAGATTTATCAAACATACAATGTATATCTTGTTTGGAAGTAATGCCAAAATTTTAATAATAAAAGAAGATAAGGAAGCATATATTCTTTTCTTTCAATAATAAATTTCTTAGTTTTATTTTTTAATTTTTAAGATAAAAAATTTAAGTAAAAATTTAATATAGCATATAAATGATAATTAAAATTATTTTTTCATCATATAAAATCATTGAATAAGAATTATATATAAGGAAAAAAAATTTCAATTGACATTTATTTTCTATGTTAAATTTTTATCTAAATTTTTTTATCTAAAGTAAAAAAATCAATTTAAAACAACTACCATAGTTATTTTGAAATGAAGGGACCACTATTTTGACAATTTTTATTTTGAAGCTCGGTTTACTGCCTCCTCGCAAATCCAATGGTAATGTAATGAATATAAAAAAAAAAATCTAAATATTTTCCTTGTTTCCATTTCAATATATCGTATTGTTTATGGTAATAATATAGTTATAATGTCATATATTATTAAATAAATATATATACAATATTATAAATAAGTTTTTTAAATAAAAAATAAATTATATAATAATGATAAGTTAAAAGTATAAATTTACAGTATCAAATGATATATTATATAATATATTAAATCGTAAAATATAAATTATT